TTTCCATCGATATAATCATCTCCACACTTTTATTTTCTCTTTTTTTCACCCTTTAGTTACAGATCACATGTAATCGAGTCGCTATGAAGCAATATTCATTGATTTCTACTAAAGTGAGGTTATATCGATGTTCAGTGGGGTCCAATGTGACGCAGGTTGATGGGGTCTTCTGTTCCACGCTTACAGAACTACGCTTATTTTCTCTTTTTTTCACCCTTTAGTTACAGATCACATGTAATCGAGTCGCTGTGAGGCTTTGTTTTCAGTTTTCAATTAGATCTCTTCTACGTGTCACAGAATACCCTACCTTTCACATTACATGTCACAGTGTACCCTACACTATGGCTCAATCGACCCCACGCTTTTGGTCCACTGTGAAAAACGCAGCATTTCGAAATATCATTATTTTTGCAAAATATTTCTGAAAATTTACTTCTTAAATCATTTACAAACAAAGTTTATTATATTAAACATCGAATAGTCTCATTTATATTATAATAAAGTTATTAAAAATTATTTTTAATGTGATTTGAAAAAACGTGGTTCAAGGGTGCCCACTCTCCCCTACTCCACTGGAGAGGTAGTACCCATTGAATTTAAGGTCATGGCAAAAGTTCTCTTGGGAAGGTATTTCGTGGAAATTCCTATGTATGTAATAGACATGGATGACGATTGTTTATTGGGTGTAGATTTCTTAAGGAAAATAAATTTAGAAAATGTTTTCGAATTTGCTTTCGCTTCTTCGGAGCTGATAAAGAAAAGGTTTTGAATTGTTCTCAAATTCAAGTTTCTTCTGAAAAAGCTCCATTCTTGAAAGAACTTTATACTAATAATTTTTCAAATTTAAATGAGGCTTAGAAAGTAATTTTTACGGATTTCTTAGAGGAGTATCAAGATGTATTTTCCGAGGAGATTGTTGCTGGTAATTGTGGAGTCGTCGAACATGTCACCAATTTAGAAGATTTTTCTCCCATTAAGCAGGTTCCTCGTCGAATTCCTTTACGAATGCGAGAGGAAGTAGAAAAGATTATTGAGGAAATGAGGAAACAAGGGGTAATAGAAGAGTCGCAAAGTCCGTGGGTCTCTCCTGCTGTTTTGGTAAGGAAAAAAGATGGAACGTTGAGATTTTGCGTCGATTATAGAATGGTCAATGCAATAACTAAAAAAGATTCGTTTTCTTTGCCTAGAATAGTTGACATTTTCGATCAGCTTTCGGGAAACTTTTGGTTTTGCACTCTGGATCTTAAAAGTGGTTATTGGCAGGTAAAGATTTGTCTTGAAGATAGAGAAAAGCCTTTTCTATTGGACGTGGGTTATGGCAATTCACTGTAATGCCTTTTGGGCTGTGTAATGCCCCTGCTACCTTTGAACGTTTAATGGAAAAAGTATTGCGAGGATTATTATATAAAATTTGTTTGGTTTATTTGGACAATGTAATAATTTTCGGTAAAAATTTTAATAAAATGCTGGAAAATTTAAAGAAAGTGCTTTCACAGTTACGTTCTGTTAATCTTAAAGTAAAAACCCTAAAAAGTGTATTCTCTTTGCAAAAGAAATAAAATATTTGGGACATATAGTCTCTTCGGGAGGTGTTACTACAGATCCGGAAAAGATCTCTGCTGTGAGGAATTGGCCGATTCCACATAACAAGAATCAGCTTCGAAGTTTCCTAGGGTTTTGCTCATATTATCGGAAATTTGTAAAAGGATTTTCTTCTTTGGCCAAACTTTTCTATGCTCTAACAGAGAATCAGGTTAAATTTTCTTGGAACGAGAAGTGTCAAAGTGCATTTTTAGAGTTGAAACGAGTGTTATCTTCTTCTCCAATGTTATCCTTCCCGAGTGGGGAGGGAGCATTTATTTTGGACACTGACGCTTCGAATATTGGAATTGGCGCAGTCCTTTCACAAAAGCAAGAGGGTGAAGAAAAAGTCATTGCTCATTTCAATCGTGTACTTAGTAAGTAGGAATTATTGCGTTACTCGTCGAGAACTCTTAGCGATAGTCGATTCTATTAAATTTTTCCGGCATTACCTTTTGGGGCGGAAGTTCTTGATCCGTACGGATCATGTTTCTCTTAGGTGGTTGATGTCCTTCAAAGACTTAGAAGGGCAATTGGCGCGTTGGCTGGAGAGACTCCAGCAATATGAGTTTGAAATTATTCATCGCAAAGGCTTGATTCACAAAAATGCCGATGGGCTTTCTAGACGACAATGTGAATCATTTGGTTGCGAATATTGTGTCAAAGTGGAAAGGAGGCAGATGGAAGAATCAAGAAAATCAGTCGCTCGTATTATTCTCATAGGAGAAACTCTTCAAGATTGGCGCAAGGAGCAATTGGAGGACGTTAGCATTGCTTCTATTTACCGCGGGAAGGAAACGGGAATACGTCCGTCTCGTTTTGAAATACCCGCTGGAGATGTCTCCGCCCGGATATATTGGTCTTATTGGGATGCTTTGAGTTTAAAGGATGGGGTTCTTTACAAGAGGTGAAAAGCACCGAATCTTAAGTCGAGTATTTTTCAGTTTATTGTTCCTCGAAGCCGTGTTAACCAGATTCTAGAGGAGGCGCATGATTCTTTTTTTGGAGGACACTTTGGAGTCAATAAAACACTCGAAAAAATCCGAAAGCGGTTTTATTGGGCCTCCTGTAAACAAGATGTGGAGGAATGGTGCAAAACTTGCAAAGTTTGCGTGTCTAAAAAAGATCCTTTGGAGAAGGGAAAGTCCCCATTACAAATTTATAATGTTGGGACACCATTCGAAAGATTACAAATGGACATACTTGGCCCTCTTCCTATTACTACTTCCGGAAATAAGTATCTCCTCGTCATTGTTGACTGTTTCACCAAATGGGTAGAAGCTTTTCCTCTCAGAAATATTAGGGCAAGTACAGTGGCAGAAGTCTTTGTTAATCAAGTCATTTCTAGACACGGGATCCCTTTGGAAGTCCATACGGATCAGGGGAAAAATTTTGAGTCCAAATTTTTCGCAGAATTGATGAATCTCCTTGGAATTCGGAAAACGAGAACAACTGCTCTGCATCCGCAATCGGATGGACAAGTCAAGCGGCAACATCAGACTATTGTTAATTATTTGGCGAAGTATATTTCTGAAAATCAGAAAGATTGGGATCGCTGGATCCCTATGTTTTTATTGGCTTACAGATCTTCTAAACACGAGACTACTAAAGTAACTCCCGCCGAGCTGTATTTTGCCCGAGATCTTAGGTTGCCGTTAGATCTGCTTTTAGGAAGTCCTCCAAGGGAAAGATCTCAGTCGGTTGGAGGTTTTATTGGGAATTTGAAGGAGAAATTGGACAGGATTCATTTCAACGTTAGGGAACGTATGGATGTAAAGTCTTCACGAGCAAAGTCTTGGTATGAATTGAAAGCCAGGCACTCTTTTTCAAGAAGGGGAAAAAGTTTGGTTTTATAATCCTCGAAGGATGAAAAGTAGAGCCCCTAAATTGCAGAGCAATTGGGAAGGACCTTTCTTAATAGTGAAAAAGTTGAATGATGTGGTCTATTGTATTTAAAGGTCTGTGAGACATAAGAAGAGAATTGTGCATTTGGATAGGTTGGCTTCCTTTTCCGAGAGACAATAGAGTTTGATAGGGAACTGGGCTTGTTATGGATTAGGTTGGGTGTGATAATTTGTGGGGAAGGTTAATTACGGTAGAAATTAAAATTGTGTTGCATTGTTTACTGCGCGTGTTATTTTGTTCTTAGAAATTTACGGAAGCTGAAGCGGTCGTAACTTCTCGCCAAGTTGGACATCTTGGGAGCTGACTTGTTGCCGAACCTTATACCGGTGAAGGATAAGTTACGAAGCTAGAAGACTGCCTCTCTCACGGTTGTTTGATCCGTGGTTTTTCCGTGAGACATAGGGCAAATGCCGAGGCAGGGACTTGGGGAGTCTTTCGAGACGTTGGGTCCACGGTAAGCTTCCTCCCCTCCCTTGTTTGAAGATTTAGAAGAGGAGCAGCGACATCTCCGACAACTTCGGGAGCTGAGAGGAGGCCTGTGTTGGGAGGCGAGATCTCCTGCGAGGGAACTGATGAGGGGTCGCCCTGGAGTCGGCAGGGGGGAGAGAGTATCTCCTTCCGGAAGATGTCGATTGGGAACTCGCTCCATGAGGAAGAGGACACGGTCCTGGACTTCCAGAGTACGGTTGGGACCGAGGAGAAGACGGTGCTCGGTAACCTGTGGCAGCAGCCCAGGGTAGGGCAAGAGGCCGTCCCGGTACCCTGGAATCGTACGGAAAAGTTCGCCCAGTCAGAAAATTGCCCCTCCGGATTGTCGGGACGACAATCGGAAGGGGGGGGGGGGGCAGTGTTGCGCCCGTGCCGAGACATTCGTACTTGTGGGCTGAAATTGGCTCCGCTCCGCAGAAATTTCAAGCCGAAGCGCTATCCTTGACAACGGGGACGCATAGAATTATTGATTTAATTACCGCCTGTCAGATTGATCTGGTGACTCGTTTTGTTCGGACCGGTTTCCCAGAACTCTATTGTATTTCGTTCTGAGCCTGAATAAACTCGAGTTCTTTTATAATTACAAGAGTAGTTATTTCTGCGATCCCGGGAGTACGCGGTGTATACGAATAATTTGTGTGTGTGTGTGTGTGTGTGTGTGTGTGTGTGTGTGGGTAAGTGTGGGTGTGGGTGGGGGGTGGTGTGTGTGTGTGTGTGTGTGTGTGTGTGTGTGTGTGTGTGTGTGTGTGTGTGTGTGGTTTTAGGACCATTCCAGAATAGGTTGCAAATGCCAGTTGCGAAGGATGTAATAACACTTTTCCAGTGGTAGTTGCTATCCTTCGCAATTGGCAATGGGGCATTTGCAAGCTATTTTGGAATGGTCCTTAAGGATAAAAATATTGTTCTATTAAAATAAGCCCATTTATTTTAGCTAAAATGTTTGTACAGTTTATCTTTTTTTTTCTCTTTAACTTAAAGAAAATAAGAGAGAAGATGAACTGTGCAAGAAGTTCAGCTAAAATAAACAGGCTTATACATATATATAATAACTTTTTTCTAGATTTTTCGAAAAATGTGGTTTTTCGGGGGTAATTGGATGGGACACATATTGCCATTTTTCCACCAGAAACTGAGAGGGAATATTTATTTATTAATAGAAAGTTATGCCATTCATTAAATGTGTTAGCTGTAAGTATATAAGTATTCTGTAATGCTAAAATATATAGACAATATAATATAATACTAATAATACATAATAAATTACTAAATAATGTGATGTGATTTTAGATTTGTGATTCCAACTGCGAAATTCTTGCTGTAAATAGTGCCCATGGTGGCCGAACACATGATGCTCGAGTGTTACGATCATCGAAAATATTTGCTCATTTAGAACGGAAACACAGAGAGGGTGAAATAAATTCATGGCTTTTAGGTAAGAAATTATATTGTCCAGTAATAATATTGATATACAAAAATAATCGAATGCTTGCTTTACTGAATTTTTTAAATAGTATTTTTTTTATTTTCTTTATTTCTCTTTTTATTCTTCTTTTCTACATCTGTCAAAAAAGGCTGTGTTGGTTAAAAACTCACATTGTAAATTTATTATGATTATTTTAGTTTTAATAATTGAAACTGAAAAATATTCTTTAATTGTACGTTGTAGGTGATTCTGCTTACCCTCTTTTACCATTTTTGCTGACGCCGAAGCTAAATGAAGTTCAGGAAAGGAACTCCAGGCGCTAGGTACACAGAACATCATGTCCGAACTCGTGTGTCTATAGAGCGATGTTTTGGGTCATTTTAAAGGGTCGTTAGCGTTGTTTACGAAAGGAAAGAGCTTTACATTATCGTCCACAATTCGCTGGCATTTTTACTTTTTAATGTTTTTATTATTTCATAGTTTTCTTTAGTCTCGATCGGGGTACTTTCCGATTCACGCATGATGCGCATGATGCATCATTTATCAATCACAGTCGAATTTGAAGGGAATAATTGACTGTGATCGGTCAATTTCTTAAGGCTTGTAAGACTTAAGACACAAGACAGTATTGTGCGTTACTAAAAACAAAGATTTAAAGCATAAAATATTGTTTTAAAATTATAAAGTCAACCATTTTGCTCAGTCCCTTATTCTGAATGTAGGTTACAAGTTGCTATTTTATAATTTTACTATTTATTGCGATGTATAGAGGACAGTTCCTTATTATGAAATAGGATTCTAATATGAGATATTATGTGATATGATTTCATAATGTGTCCCATATGGGGACATATATGAGGGTCTATTAGTTTAGCAGAAACTCCGCTATCTTATAGGATCTTTTCTCATAATAGGGGACTTTCCTCTATTAATTAATTAAATATTTTTTTTTCATACTTACAGCTATCATCGTCAATGCTTGTTGCGTTCTGCATAATATGGCAATCAGATGGGGGATTCCATACGATGAAATACATCTGGATGAATTGGACATTGCACCACCAATACCATATAATGGTGTTAACGAAGAAAATGGAGAACAAACCCGAAATCGAGTGATCCAGTGGTATTTTTCTAATTAATCTTTCTCGATGTTGTCATCTGATTGTATCTTTTCAAATACAAATGTATTATATTGTGATATTTTCTGAGCGATTAAAACGTTTCTAATAGTTTTTAACGTTTTTGTCATTAACTTTTGTATTTACTAAGTAATTAAGGTGTTTGTTAAACATTTTTTGAACAATGCTAATTTCTTGTATTTAATCAGGTTAATTGTAAGATCGATGAAATATGAAGCAAAGTCATAATTGTTCTTGAATTTAAATTGTAAAAGAAATAATATTTGTAAACACATTACTGTGTGATAAAATATATGTTTATATTTTTGTAACAAATAATATTTGTGAACACATAATATTACAATATTATTTGTAAACACATAAATAATATTTGTAAACACATTATTGTGCGATAAAATATGTTTATATTTTTATACAAATACACGTGTACTTTATTCTTTTATTCTAAATATTGCGGAGCGTAAGACCAAATAATATTCGTTAAATCATCCACCTTTTTATCTAACAATATCAGAAGTTCAATATGTTTCTGGTGAGCTTTTTTTTTAAATTTTAAATCTTCTTTGGTTATGGCCATTTTTTCCTCTTTTAGTTGCAATAATCGTTCCTGAATATGAGACTAATCCGAGGTATGCTGTTGCAACAAATGTTTTACATCTTGTTTCTTAAATTTCTTGTTACCGGTATCTAAAGAATTTAATTCAATAATATTATGATTAATCTATTGTTGAAGACCGCAACAATATTTTATTTTATTTTTTCGACCTTCCGAAATTCTATTATTGAAGGAAATAATAAATTATTCCCTTTAATAATAGAATTTCGGAAGGTTGAAAAAATAAAATAAAATATTGTTGCTATTACACGAGTCGTCATTAGTAATTAATTTTAGTTACCTATCAGAATATCTCCTCTTGCTTTTTGGAGTCTCCATATTCTCTATAGAAGCGAGTACATTGAAGGATTTCTGAAACATAGCAAAATATCTGTATTGTAAATACAAGGAATAAACACATCGTGCAGAGAAGAAAACATCATACATCATTATTTATGGAAGATTCTCTGCGTCGCCTATCACGTCACTATGGGGGTGTTTCTGAAATTTATTAAGATAACAAAAATTAATATTATCATTTTAAAACTCTAAAATAGTAAAATAACATTACTTCAACATTACTCTGCCAGAAGGATCTTGCTGCATCTTGCAGTCCACAGGAGCCCGAAGTCTTCAGGTCGTCAACGTTTATCACGTCACTATGAAGGTGTTTCTGAAATTTATTATGATAACAAAATTAATATTATTATTTAAAAATTCTAAAATAGTAAAATAACATTACCTCAGAATTACTTTGCCAGGAGGATCTTGCTGCATCTTGCAGTCCACAGGAGCCCGAAGTCTTCAGGTCGTCAACGTTTATCATGTCACTATGGGGATGTTCCTGAAATTTATTATGATAACAAAATTAATATTATCATTTAAAAACTCTAAAACAATAGAACAGTAAAACAACATTACCTCAACATTACTCTGCCAGGAAGATCCTGCAACGTTACTCTGCCAGGAAAATCTTGTTGCATTTTGCAGTTCCCGGGAGCCCGAAGTCTTCCAGGTCTGCAAACTCTCTAAGGTCGAGAACTCCTTTGGACTTTGTGACTCATTTAGTGTCGGCCTTATCTGAATAAAAACAATAAAAATAAACTATTATCGTCAATATAGTTTTTCCTTTGGAAATGTCATACATCCCGCTGACCAGTGCCAGAAATGGGATTGCGAGTCACCGAAAACCGAGCAGTGGGGATACGTACACGACGAGAAAGCACGTACATGAGCACTCTGAGTGGCTCCGAGCGTACACGTATGTGCTTTGTCTTTGTGTACGTATCTCCCATTACCTGGGGCTCGCGATTCCATTTCTGACAGCACTGCCGCTGACTTCTAGTGTCAAAAAATCCAATAAAGCATTTTTAATTTAAAAATTCTATAAAACAATAGAACAGTAGGAGAGGATAGAATGTAAGAGGAAAGGGGGAGGGACGCAGAAGGAGGCAGAAAGAAAAGAGAGCGAAGAGAGTGAGAAGACGAGGAGACTGAAAGAGAGGGTAAAGAGGTTGGAGGAGGAGAAGGAGCAAAGAGAGAGAAGGAAGAGGAATGTGGTTTGGAGGGGGTTGGATGGGGAGGACGCAGAAGAAAAGAGGGGTCTGATGGAAAGGGTGGCGGAGAAAATGCTGGGCAAGGTACCAAAGATTAGAAGGGTTTGGGAAAGGAGAGAGGAGGGAGAGAGAGAGAGGTGTTGATTGTGGAGATAGAGGATGAGAAAGAGAGAGCGGAGCTGTTAGGGAGGTATGGAGAATTTAGGCGGAGGTGGGGGATAGGAGTAAACGAGGACCTGCATGTCCATGAAGGAGAAAAAAGCGAGGTGGAGGTTGTTGGAGAAGGCAAAGAAAAAGAGAAAAACGAGTAAAAGAACAAGGGTGGAAAACAGGAGAATTTGGGTGAAAGGAAAGGAGATTGTGTGGAATAAGGGTGAATGGAAATGGGAGAAGAGATAAGGGTAGGGAGGGGCTGGGTAGGGTAGGAGGCCGAAAGAGTGGAGAGGGGAAGGAAGAAGGTGTGGAAGGGAGGGAAGGAAAAAGACGCCTTGTAAACCCTGCGGGGACATACAATAAACTTATATAATACAATACAATAGAACAGTAAAACAATATATTACCTCATTGCTCTGCCAGGAAGAGGCCGCATCTTGAAGTTCCTGGAAACACGAAGTCTTCCAGGTCGGCAAATTGTTTGAAGTCTTTAAACTCTGTGAGGTCTGCAAACTCTGTGTCAAGGACTTCTTCGAACTTTGTGGTTTATTTAAAGTAGGCCTTATCTTATTGTTAGTAAATGAAAATGAACTATCGTCAATAGCTCCTCCTTCGGGAATGTCAGACATCCCGCTGGCTTCGGGTGTCAGAAATTCTAATAAATTGTCTTCGGAGGGACTTGTATCTAAAGTTTTTGGTGGTCCTCCTTTAGTACCACCTGCGTAACTTTTATATGTAGCCACTCTTTTTAATAAATTAGACTTCCAATCACGCCATGTCTGTAAGAAAGAAAGAATAACCATTAATGACATATTGTTAGTAAAAGGAGATTCGTAGTATTATTAATAACACTAAAGCATCATAAACATTCCCGACATAAATAGATATCCATAGGATATCGTGTGCTATCTGGGTTAATGTAGGTATATATATTTACATTCCAAAAATCCTTTGCTGCGACCAAACTGGCTAATATTTATTTAACAAG